AAGGGTTTATGAAATTAAAGTGTATCAATATAATATATGAAAAACATTTTACGAGTAATAGTAATTAGGGATTAAGAATTACACAAATTTAAAGCATATCAATACAGTATATCAAAACAGTGTAGGAGTAATACAAAGTATGCTTCATAGTGTGACCTCGTAATATCATGTGTGTGTATATATATATTAAAGAAAAGAGAGATATGTTGAATGGTAAGGATCATGACAAAAAATTTAAAATTCAAAACGGCTAAGATATACACAATCAACGTTAGAAACAAAATTTGTGATAATATAATTTTTTCATTATATTAAGAAATTTTTAATAAAATAAAACAAAATCAAAATCAACTTAACTGCCAAAAAAGAATATGCATGATTTAAGGGAGGTAAATATGTCAAAAAAATTATAAAAGTCAAATTGTGTACTTGAATACAATTAACTTATAAAAAAAAAAAGACTTAATAACCTAATATAAAAATTATGTTTTTTTTAACCAATAATTATAATTTCGTATCCCTGCTTACAATTCCCCCAATTCCTTGTGCTACCAGGGTAGTTTTTAATACGGCCCACAGTCTAGTAAAACGTAGACTGGACCTAGCCTAATGGACTGCTACACCAATACTTGGGGGCAAATCCAGAAGACTTTGGACACGGTCAAACCTTTCGCTCAATACCAACAATGGTGTCTGCTTTTCTGGATGTGGTAAGATTTCTCTCTCTCTCTCTCTCTCTCTCTCTCTCTCTATCTATCCCCCACCCACCCACCCAAGCATGCATCTTTATTTGTATGCTTGCTTTGTATTTATTGTATGTTCAACACCCAAATGAACCTTATATTGGAAACTTGATTTTAATTTGTTGGCAGCACCTTTGCCTCAGTTTGGGCAATAAAGGGAGTTTCAGGCTTTGCAGGAGATCAGAGGCTGGTATATCCCAGGTGGGTATTTGAAAAACCTTCTTAAAACTTATTGTTTCTATTAAATTTGCCAGGGTTTAATGTATATTCAAAGATGTTCGTACGGTTGAAACGGCCATGAAGTGGTGGATTATTCTCAAGATATTTTCTTCTTATTTTTACTTTGCATTCCAGAGGAAAGTTATAGAAATCTTTTTACTAAAATAAATGCCACATTTAAGTTTAACATAGTTGGTATTAAGTTTGGCAGCATGATTGGACAATGGAAGAAGCTTCATCTGTTTAGTAATCTGTTCTCCTTTTCTCTTCAATTTTTGATTTGATTAAGACTATTGGCAATTTCTTTTGTTTTTCTCATCTTTTATTTGAAAAAATAATTAATCAATGTGCTCACCCCAAGGTCGATGCCTCAATTTGAAGTGTACGGGCTTTTCTTGAGTTCATAATGTAATATATCAACATTGTAAAAGGGCCTGTATCTGAGAGTAATTCCTTTAATTGAGTGTTCTTTTTCATATACGTTACTTATGCCTGATTGATTGAATTTATTTTAAATGGCTTATTTCGACAAATCCGAATAAATGCGAACCATGTCAATTTTTCAAACCTTTTGGTGAGATTCAATTAATTCTCTTTTCTTCTGTCAAGAATCACCAAAAATCATATTTCCTCTTTTCGTCCACCTGCGGGGTGTTGTTTGGTTGACCGACTTAAAGGATTGATAGCATGAGCATATTATAGCTAGAGGTTAACAAATCTGAATTCAAGAGTGCAGTGTAACATGTCCAAATGTTTTTACGAACTTCAAAATCATTTAGCATAAAATTCTAGCTAATGTGGAAATTGGAAAGAACTTTCCTACGCTTTCAAAACACCACTATTGCTCGTTAAATTTCCCAATGCAATCAATGTCTCATTTGATGTGTTTGATCTTAATAGAAATATAGCTTTGAAAGAAGTTTAAATTCTTTGAAGTAATTTAGATTTTCTCTTCACCTGAGATAAAATACTCTCTATGTATTGTTGATCTCAAATCTCGTTAGATTCACTGAACAGGCTTCATTCAAGCAAAATGTTGTTCCCAAAAACACAAATAATTTTCTGGTGTGATGGTTTTGTCCCTTAAACAGGCATTGTAAATTCTTTGTATTTAGGTAGAAAATAAATTTTGTTACAGCCGAAACCGATGTGGTGGTTAACTATTTAGCCTTTTAAAAAGTTACTATGGTAAAGGTTTTGGAATGATTTCTTACTCGTGGACTGTTTAGAAGATATTTATGTTTCTATTGTATCCAGTTAAATTCATTAGTATAGGTGCAGATGATTTCTTTTAAACTTACAATGGTTGGGGAATGCAGAAGTGATCCTACCAATTTATCTCTGCCAGTTTTGTCCATGTTCAATTTAGTTTGCCTTGGCTATGACTCGTGTGTGTGTATCGCTCTTGGGGCTGGTGATGCAGGGATTTTGACTTTGGTTACTTTTTTTTTTATAATTTTTGAGGCAATTTCAATATTTATTTACTTACCAGGATGGGATCACTGATCAACAGTCACCAAGGAGGCTCATAGGTTGGCGACCCTCACAGCACCTGGGAAGACATCTGGCTAAGGTCTGCCGAGCGGCAGAGCCTACATCTGTACTTTCTAAGTCTTGGTGTAGTTATGAGATTGGTGCTGGGAAAAAAATAGGCTGCATAAATGTTATATTGTACATGAGGAGGTTTGTTTGCTTATTTATTTGGAGATCCATGTTTTGCAGGAAACGCATACCTTAGATCAAGGGAAGAAGAAAGCCAGCATGAGCCTGATAGAAAACTGTCGATCTGTCACAAAGGATGATATAGTTATTCCTGATTCCTCGGCAGTCCAACAACATAAGCTCCCTCCTCTGGTTAGTGCATTGAAAGCTTCAGCAGAAGAAAATGCAGCCAGTTTTCACTTCCCTGGTCACAACAGAGGGCGAGCTGCACCATCGTCATTGACTCAGCTTATTGGTGTAAGACCTTTCCTTCATGACTTACCTGAGCTTCCAGAACTTGACAACCTCTTTACTCCAGAGGGGCCCATTTTAGATGCACAAAAAGAAGCTGCTAAGCTGTTTGGAGCATTTGAGACATGGTTCCTAGTTGGGGGTAGTACATGTGGAATCCATGCTGCCGTCATGGCTACATGTTCACCAGGAGAAACTCTTATTCTCCCTCGGAATTGCCATATATCAGCCACATCCGCCATGGTATTGTCTGGCGCACTACCAAAGTACATTAGCCCTGCGTATAATTTTGATTGGGACATTGCTGGTGGCATCACTCCATCTCAGGTGAGTGCACAATACCACATTTCATGTTTTAAATGAGTCGCCTTTTGTAAGAGGTAGTTTATTTTGAGTGTTTAACGTTTGAGATTGGGTTTGAGTGATGAAGTTTGAAATTATCTTTTCAAGTATTTGCGGTACAGAAAATGAATAGGATTCAGTGAAAGCGTGTAGATCTTAATTTCTATTTACCCTCCTTGGGATTTACATATGTTTTGTGTATAATTGACATGGTCGTTGCTACAGGTAGAGAAGGCAATCAAGGAATTGGAAATGGAAGGTCAAAAAGCAGCTGCAGTTTTCGTCACTTCCCCTACTTACCATGGTATCTGCAGCGATGTGGGTTCGATTTCTCAGCTCTGTCATTCTCATGAAATTCCCGTAATTGTTGATGAGGCTCATGGGGCACACTTAGGATTCCATCCACAGCTGCCTAGGTCAGCTCTCCATCAAGGGGCTGATCTTGCTGTGCAGTCTACTCACAAAGTTCTGTGCTCTCTTACACAGTCATCGATGTTGCATGTGTCTGGAAATCTTGTTGATAGAGAAAGAATTTGTAGATGTCTGCAAAACCTTCAAAGCACGAGCCCTAGTTATCTGCTTTTAGCATCATTGGATGCCACAAGGGCCCAAATAAGTGAAAACCCAAAAAATTTTTTAACAAAGCAATTGAATTGGCTGTTGAGGTAAAAACTAGGATCAACAAAATTCGTGAACTTTCAGTCCTCGATTTACCAAGTTTTTCTGATTTTCCAGTAATTGATCCTCTGCGAATTACTATTGGTGTATGGCAGCTTGGTCTTTCTGGTCTTGAAGCTGATGAGATCTTATACAGGAAATATGGGGTCGTTTCAGAACTTACTGGTACCCGATCTATTACGTTTGCTTTTAACCTTGGAACCTGTAGAGAGCATGTTGATAGGCTTATATCAGGACTAGAACATTTACCAGAAACTTTCTTACCAATTCAACGCATTGAAGATAGGGTAGATGATGGTTGTGGTGCACCCTTTGATGGAATTACCATGAGCCTGAGTCCTAGAGACGCCTTCTTTGCAAGTAAGAGAAAAGTGAGTGTCAAAGACAGCCTTGGAAAAACTTGTGGAGAGCTTATATGTCCATACCCACCCGGTATACCTTTGTTGATCCCTGGTGAGGTTATCACAGAGAGAGCAATGGCATACTTGCTGCAAGTTAGAAGTAAGGGCATTGTTGTTAGTGGAGCAGCTGATCCCTCTCTCTCCACTATAGTTGTATGCAAACCCTGAGCAAATTTCAGCTCTCTAAGCACCAGCGGCTGATATGGGAAGCCAAGTTTACATTATCGAAAATCCTGGTATGATTTCTGGTATTGGAGGAGATGAGCCATTGTTCTACCAACATACCACACCCCCCCAAAAAAAAAAAAAAAAAAAAAAAGGGGGCCGAAGGGGAAGAAGATTTGCAGTAAATCAGAGTCTAACCTGCGTTCACAACGGAGCCTGCATTGAATTCAATGTAATATCCAATATCAGATTCTAAGTTTGCAGATTGAGATTGCATTAGACGGTCTCTTGGGATGAATGAACATTTTGTATTTGATGTAGCATTTGAAATGAATATTTGAGCTAATATCTGATTGTTAAATTAGTGGTTCGAAGATAGTATTGTCATTGAAATTTTTTTAGTGTATATATATAGGGTTATTGTAAATTACACTCCGAAAGATAGTTCGAATCTCAATTTACAACTCCAAAGATAAAAAATTTTAATTTACACCCTCAAAGATAGAAATTTATATCAATGTGTACTCTCAAAGATCAAAAATTTTAATTTGCACCCTCAAAGATAGAAATTTATATTAATATGCACCTTCAAAAATCAAAAATTTTAATTTGTACCCTCAAATATAAAAATTTGTATTAATATGCATCTAAAATTAATCGCCGTCAGTTTTCTGCCTAAAATTAAATTGATAAATTAAACCTAAATTCCATCATACTTGTCATTTAATCATTTGAGCCTCTTCACATTTAGAATATTACTCCTACATTTCATGACGTTTTGTGCACGTGTAAGACATAACCTTTTTTGGTTGATATCTGTTAATATAATCGTTAAAAAATATGATTTTATCCTAATAAAAAATTATAATTTCATATTACCCTTTATTTTGTAGGTTCGATATACTCTAAAGTTCAAAATCAAACTTACTATTTGAATGTCCAATAGAATGTAGATATTTAATCTTTGGGGGTAAAAATTGAGATTTTTTATCTGTGGGGATAAAAATTGAGATTTGAATGATCTTTTAGAGTGCAATTTATAATTAACCCATATACATATATATACACGACAAAGAGGAACCTTCCTCCTCTTCAGGCACTTCTATAGCAATGCTCTTCTTTGTTGGTTCTCTTACTCTTTCTCTTCTTAATGGCCAGTTTTTTTTTTTTTTTTTCGGTCAGTAAGTTGTATTTTGATAATGGTAAAATGAGCACGAGCTCGGTAGAGGAGTGGTGTGCTATCGCATGGAACTAAAAATGAAACCTATACTCCTACAAATACATGTAGTAGTGCGAGTAAGGATCGTTCCCACAGAGACTATCTATCCTAATTTTAAGCTACGTGAACAATGATAGAGGGGGTTCGAGTTTAACGAAAATAATTATAAGAAAAGAAACTGAGGAACAATTCAAATTAAAGTATCGAAATCAATCGAAAGAACAAATCTTGGAATTTTACAATTGATCATCGATGCAAGTATATATTAATTCACTATTTGAATATTAACCATTGGAACGATCTTCCTATCTCTCCTTAGTCGCAATTAATTAGAAAACAAGCGATCTAATTAATATTAACTATTAAAGAACCCAAGACAAGTACAAAGGTTTAATCTAGTAGCAGCCTTAAGAATTAGAAAATTCGATGAAACTAAAGAACAAAAGCACAAGCGGTTGCATTTAATTTAGTTGTGCGTTCTTCCTAAGACCTAATAATTTCTGACATATCAAATCATTTAATCTTAGTTGCTTCACAAATTAGAGTGATCAAATAATTACGGATTTGATATCTAATCTAGCAGTAGATTGCAACGAATAATAAACTAGTAGGCCTCCTAGTAGTTAAACGAGACAATCATGAAAATAGGTACAACAGAACATCCAATACTCAAAATAAAAACAAATTATATCTCACAGTTTTATTGATTCCAAGGCTTCCGTTTCCTTCGACCAAATATCAAAGTTTAGCCACGCAGGGTCTTCATGAAAACTGAAAGGAAGGGTTAGAGAAGAAGGGGGGGTATAGCGGCGTACAAAGTCTGCTGATTTTTTTCTTCCCTATCCCTTTTACCTGTTGATCCCCTTTTCCCTAGAAACCTCTCCAAGTTTGACTCTTTCAGAAAGATTAAAACTAAAATAAAGTCGTAATATAAGTAGGAAAGTGGTGTTATCCTCTGGAATTTTTGTGCCCCAAGTTTTTAAGCTTCCGAAAATAAACTGATATTAGAATTACGGGCTAAGGAACATTCCAGAATGTGAACAGTGCACACGCTAGAACTTCAAGCCCCATTTTGATATTAATGTAGCCAATATCTCTCAAAACTCAAACATGAAAGTTGTAGAGATTTTTCTTGGCATTCCATAGCATCTTGAATCATCTTAATCAGAGCTCGGATGAGAGAGTTATGCCCAGATTACGAAACAATTTCGAACTGTCCAAAATCGTCCAATTAGTTTTGTTTTGCATTTAATACCTCTATTTGTATCCTAAATCAAAATATAAGAATAATGAGTACATTTAGGCACCAAATAAGTATAAAAGGCTAAATATTAAAAGGAAAAAATATAACATTTTGCATTCTCATCAAATTCCCCCACCCTTTACTTTTGCTCGTCTTTGGGCAAAACCCAAATTCACTTTCCAAAAAACACCAAGGTTGCAATGCCATTAACAAAGAACAACCAAGCCCTTCAAAACTCATTACATATCATGAACAAACATTCTTAAACAACTTACAATTACTTAGTAAGCATTGTCACTCGAAGATGGAGTAAACTAAATGCGTAGACCCTCACGAAAATAAACACTCGACTCTCATGTGTTTGAAGGGTATGTGTTTCGCTCAAATTCATTCTAATGGAAATAATCTACCAGAGGCTTGCATATCTTCTCATTCTCCACCATTAGGATCACATGCATAACACGAATAATAAGGACTTTTGAAGGGTTGTAACGGGGTTTAGGATCAAGGTGGGAAATATTTGGGAGTGTAGCTCAAAAACCATCGAAACTAGTAGAGCAAAATGAATCAACTCAAGCTTGAATATATAAGATATGTAAAACCAATCACTCAATTTAGTAGCTTCTTCAATTTGGCTTTAAAGCATTTAAACTATGTAAAACTCCTGCATTGAAAAAGAGATCATTCAAAGGAACACTTTTCGTTTGCAGCAGGGAACAGTTATTCACAAAAGCTTCCACCTTTTCATATATCACGTATAAACAAACCTCTTTCTCATAATTTTAGGAGGAATTATAAACATGGACAGTTTGTAACATTAAAAGCAATTTCTTCCATTACTTCCTTTCTCTCTTTTTTTTTACTCAAATTTCATCAACAATGGAACTCACGAATTGAGAATGAGAACCTGTTCTATTTCACCAGTCATAGCCACACCACAAATCCAAACACCCCCACACTTATTTCTTGCACACCCACACATATCATAATGATGAAAAATGCTCCACTAGTTTTTTGGGTTGGGTAAAAGAATTGTTTTTTCGGGTTTAAAGCTTGTAACATGGGTTCATAATAAAATAAAATAAAAAATAGTAACGCTCAAAGGGGTTCAACAAAGGAAAAAATTAATTACAAGGTAGGCTATCTAGCTTTATGTAGCATATAACAAAGAGGGCCTTAATCATGTTCATGCATGCATGTATTAATATGACCTCGAAGAGAATCAAGGCAAGTTCTAGAGAAATAAATTCATGGAAAAATATCCCACATGAACGAAAATAGTGAGACTGATATGGATGTGTCAGTCTAAAGGCTCAAAATCTCACCAGCTTTTGTCTACTAAATTTAGTCACTACCATTCTCAAGGAAAATAACTAGACTAATTAATTCTAAGTGGGAAGATTACTTATTCAATCATGTTATGAATTTTTCAAGCCAAAAATAATTGAAGCTTGCTCATATCATACATAACCAAATTTTTGAAAAAACATGCAATTTTTAAAACACAACTTAAATACCCTCCCCCACACTTAAAATTTACTTTGTCCCCAATGTAAGGTGAAATGCAAAGAAAAGGCAAAAATAACCAAAATATAAATGCGAGAATAAGAAAGCAAACTCCCATTGGGTTGCCTCCCAAGTAGCGCCATTGTTTATTGTCGTTGGCTTGACTCAATGCTTTCTTCTTCAATTAGTATAAATCGGATCCTCAAGCTCCAATTTTTCCACATTCTCTACTTGGAAACTTTCATAGAAAGTCTTTAGTCTATGATCATTCCCCTTGAACACTTTGGAAGTTGCTAAAATTTGAATTTCAACTACACCATGAGGAAAAACATTAGTAACAACAAAAGGTCTAATCTAACGAGAACGTAAATTACCTGGAAACAAACGATGCCGTGAATGGTATAGAAGAACTTTTTGACCAACTTTAAACTATTTCCTAGAGATCATCTTGTCATGAAAAGCCTTTGTTTTTTCCTTGTAAATCCTTGCACACTCATAGGCATCATTGCAAATTTCCTCTAATTCTTATAGCTGCAACTTTTTGTGTTCTCCACTTTCATCCATCTTCATGTAGAAACTCTGGATAGCCCAATAAGCCTTGTGTTCTAACTCAACTAGGAGGTGTCATGGTTTCCCAAACACCAACCTATAAGGTGACATACCAATTGGAGTCTTATATGTAGTCCTATATGCCCACAAGGCATCATCCAAGTGTAGACTCCAATCTTTTCTACTTGGATTGACCGTCTTTTCAAGGATGGACTTGATCTCGTGATTTGACACTTCCGCTTGTCCACTAGTTTGCGGATGATAGGAAGTTGGCATCTTGTGGGTCACTTGGTGTTTTTTTAGCAAAGTCTCCACAGTTCGATTGCAAAAGTGAGTGTCTCGATCACTTATTAGAGCTTTGGGAATTCCAAACCTGGAGAATATGTTAGACTTGATAAAATCTGCAACAAATTTAGAATTATCAGTCCTGATGGCTTTAGATTCCACCCATTTCGAGATAAAATTAACAGCAAGAAAAATATAAACATAACCAAAAGATACAGGAAACGGTCCCATGAAATCAATGCCCCATACATAAAAAATCTTGCAAAATGGTATGGGGATTTGTGGCACTCATTCCTTTGGGATATATTACCTGTCTTTTGACAATGATCGCATGACTTACAAAGAGAATATGAATCTCATTCTAGCACTTTTCTCGTAGGAATGAATGCCACAAACCCCATTCTAGCTTCCACCCATTTCGAGATAAAATTAACAACAAGAAACATATAAACATAACTGAAAGATATAGGAAACGGTCCCATGAAATCAATGCCCCATACGTAAAAAATCTTGCAAAATAGTATGGGGGTTTGTGGCATTCATTCCTTTGGGATATAT